ACTGTAATACCCAAGAGAAATTTCAAACAAAGGTTACACAAAATTAGTGTATCGTGGGAGATGTGTAAATGGCGAATAGTTTGCTGGAAAATCCGTATGGAAAGTAAAGTGAATACAACTTTTCGAGTCTTTCTCGTAGAACGAAAAATTCGCCCGAAAAAAACGGAAAGTCTGAAAACGTAGTCGTGTTTTTCGTACTCTATTCTTATACATCCATCTTTGATATTAGTTTTACCAGTTTGTTTCAGTTTGCCCAAACCCTGAACCGACCGGTTTCCGTAAGTAAACGATATTACAACAACCTATAGTTAACGGAATATTGCCTCCTTCCACTTTCCTCCTTTCATTGTGGAAATATACTCTGCGAATTTCTCATTTACAGGCCGTGAAACTTTTACGAATTTCTCCCGAATCACTAAAGCAATAATAGAGTCCTTAAGATACACCGTTACGTTATACGCCATTATCACATCTCGAAAGTAATGGTTGTCTTTCCCGTAGGTCACTAATTAAATGAGTCTAGAAGTAAGAAGTATATCAGTGCCGCGAGAAAGTAACCTCTCCTGTCCACTCACATGGGCTTTACTTTTTACAGTGTTTTCTTGTGTAGAATACACTGATGAGGTCTATCCTTGGGATACAATGCAAAAAAATTAGAAAGGAATCAGCGCAGGAAAGTCGTGGCAAAATTTTCACATGGCTGTAATAAATTATTAAAGTAAGCCTAACCTTTTTATCGAACAGTTTATTTAAGGGAGGATTTATCCGCATCCACTTAAGTCTATACACTCTAGTAGCAAAGTGATTAGGTAGTGCGAGATCGCTTCGCACAACCCCTCAGTCCTCCTGCGAACGATGAACCAGACTGACGTGTAGATAGAAGAAATGATATCTTGGAGTATTTGGAGTATCACATCACAGAACAAAGCGGAAGTAATGATATTTGCCAAGTCATGACTGGAAAGAATCCTTGTATTAAATGAAGAAGCCAGCTTCCCGAAACTAGAAAACCGCATCCACGACAAAGTTTTACAAAAAGAAAAGTGAAAAACTTATAGCAACCGAAAGTGATAACATGCCACGCACACATGCTGTGAAAACATTTAACATTTTAAAAAAACACTATCTTCTAAGATTATCACGTCTCTCAAATAAATTCCTTTCAAAAATGTTTCTGACACAGGAAAGTAATTATACGATAGACGTGGCTACACATAAATTATTACCCGTTATTACTGTACAGTCTCAATTCATTATTAGTTCCATCTCAGCTCAGCCAGTATCTACACGGATTGACTTGTTTATGAAATAGCTGGCTGCTCTTCTGCTCTCCACTTTGTATAAACAATATTTCAGAAACAGTACCCGTTGTTGGTGAATGAAAGTCTGTTTTGGCTTAGTACGATTAACTGATCATCATGAGAAAACTTTGTTTGCCAATTAACAAAAAACATCTGGGCTACAAGGGACGTTAATCTATGACCACCTTAATTATCATATTGTTGAGACTAGCAATGTCTTAAAATTACTTCTCTTATAGCGCGTTCGAAAATGTAACTAACGTTAGCGATCAGTCGCTTGGCACATTTTCCTTAAAAGTAATCTGTTTATTATTTAACAAAAAAGACTATAGGTTTGTAAAGGGAGTCAGAAATGTTAAACACTGAGCTAACTGGGAACGCGTATTTAATATTTAAAAAAAATCGCGTTCGACAAAATGATGCAATCTTGGGTAAACTCAATCTACAATTTAAAAATGATATTTTAAGTTTTACCGGCCTAAAAAAGGCAGTAGTTTGTTCGTTTAATGCACCATACATCGTACGACATAGCAATTTCGTGCAGGAACACTCATTCATGATGTAACGATCAAGTCGTTCAAAGTTCAGATAGACAAGAGATCGATGACTCAGCTATTATTGGTGAGTATATGTGTAACAAGCTTAAACATACCTGAACGCCTGATCGACTGACTCGTCAACGAAACGGTAACCTCAATTCAACGATTCTGCCTTCATCAGGAAGATATCTGAAGGCACTTGATATTCAAGGCAAAGCCGTCTGGATTTTTCCGACCAGACACAAAAGATGTCGCTTACGTTAATGGCTCTAATCTCTTGTACTTGCGTGACGGGGCTGTTCCACGTGTTGTGCATGTCACGCGTTCCTTTCGTTGAAAATCTTATCCGTTAATTGAGGCGCGTTTTTTGAAGAATCAAACTTAGAGCCTTTATCCTAGATGCTTTGGAAGAAGCGAAGAGTCCGAACTTGATTCTTCGGAGTATTGTAAACAGCAATATTGGCGCAAACCGGAGAACGTGCCAGGCTTCATATTTTCACGGGAAGGCCGCTTGCCAGGGGTTAAGCCAGCGATACTTTTTATCTGTCAAAAAGTGCTCCTGGCAAGCGGTTTTTCCTCTGAGAATCGAATATGAGGCCTCGTCGACAATTATTAATTGGCCCAGATGGCGCCAATATTAATGTTTGTTGCCAAAAGTAAGCTGACAAAGCCATTTTCTCTAACCGGCCGGGAGCTTTATAGAATTGGTTTTAACAACTTTTCTTCAAAAAATCTTCAACATTTTTTCACTCTGTGGATGAAAATACTGGGCCTATGAGTTGTCGAGAGTGACAAAACGGGAGCCGGCACCGCCTATAAAGATGTCTATAACCACCCACCCTAGGCTCCTACTGCTTTGGTAAAAGGAGCGGTTTTCTATAATACCGTAAAATTCCGAAAATAAGCCCCTCCATGTATAAGCCCCTCCAAATATAAGCCCCCCACACCTGTAACGCAAAAAACCCTTCGTTAAATCGTCCCTACAAATATAAGCCACCCGGGGGCTTGTACTTGGAAAATTGCCCTCAATTACAAAGTAAAACAAAGCAAAAACGGTAAATTTACTTCCAGCTATAAGGCTAGCCCAATCGATTTTGAAACGCAAATTTCCCTCCGTAGATAAGCCCCTCCGAATATATATAAGCCTCCAAAACTAAGCCCTTCAAAAAGGGCCTTTCGAAAATATAAGCCTCGGGGCTTATTTTCGGAATTTTACGGTATACCAAGCATCTAGTCCATTTTTCGAGCCACGTGCACAAGAAAATAATAACTGATTAAGAATAAAAAAAAAATACCAGGGAAAAGAAAAAGAAGGGAGTTAGAAGATGGGCTAGAGATTTTCTTTTTTATGCTTATGAATGAGGGTCCGAATGATTTGGTGAGTCGGTTACTGGTAAACAAGCGCAAGAGAGAGGTGGTCGCAAATATTTACGGCATTGAAGGCTATAGAGTAAGACGCTAGCTAGATGCACAGAGGAGTGTGATGGAAACTAAGTTTTTTGTCGTTCACTCTTCTGCCAGCAAGTGCTTTTATCTTTTCTGTAAATCATCCGCACCAGTCACTATTAGTTAATTCACGAATTGCACTGGGGACGAAAATGAACTAAACGAAAACCTGATTGAAATTTCAAAATGCGCTTGCGCAGTTCCAATGTACTTGGCGAAGTCTAGTCAGTCACCGAAGCAAATCAGCGGAAGTGTCAAACGGTTCTGACTTATCCTCCTTCCGTTTCATGACTACGGCAATCGCACCTTCATCCTTGAGCGACATAATATTAATCAACGTTCAACCCCAGGGCTTTTCTCTTGGAAAACTGTAAGGTCGGAAACTTCCCTGACTAGCTCCCAAAACAAATAAATAGCCAGATTGGCGACAACTCTGTTACACCTGCTTCGGATAACACGCGACCTGCCTTGTCAAAAACATTTCAGGATTTTCAGAGGCGTCCATCTTTGGGTGTCCATTTTAAAGTAGAAGGGGCAAGGGTGATTTAGCCTTCTGGCCCCAGTTGTTCAAAGGCTGGATAGCGCTATCCACCGGATAAAAATCTATTCAGTGGATAACGCAATTGGTTTCCCTAATACTTATCTGCTGGATAGTGATTTATCCGGTGGGCAGCACTATCCAACGTTTGAACAACCGGGCCCTGGCCCCAGCTGTTCAAAGGTTGGATAACGCTATCCACCGGATAAATCACTATCCAAAGGACAGGTGTTAGCGAAATCAATTGCACTATCCAGTGGATAGTCATTTATCCGGTGGATAGCGCTATCCACCTTTTGAACACTGAACTGGGGCCTAATGTGATGACCTTTTAGGAGAGAGATAACCATATATCAGAACTTGTGTAGACAACACCACAACTGCATCTATCTGAACAGCGAAACCATGATGCGAATTCAGGGTGAAAAAATTGGCACTAACAGACTCTTGGCTAATCAGGGAGAAGAAATAGAAGGACGAATGCATGATTGTTGTTTTTCATAGCTTCATAGAGAAGAGTACCCTCCTAGGTAGACGTCCTTATGGCTTTGTCAGTAATCAAGCCTTCCTTCCCCAAGTTAGCTCAGTCGTTAGTGCGCTTGACTGTGCGGGTGGTCGCGGGTTCGATTCCCAGGACCGGACCAAAACTCAGACTAAGATAACTGAGAAATGAAGGTACTCCCTTTGCACTGCAAGCGACTAGACCTTTCGCGTGGCTCGGAGGACCACGTGAAACGGCGTTCCAGTTTCTACTTGAAGACGAAAAAATAGTGTCCCCAATTAATACGTTCATGCTCAATACATTGACACTCAAATAAAGTGCCCTTTTTTTTAGTTTTCGTGGGAAAGAAACGGATGGCAAAGCCCTAAGAACGTCTGCATGGGAGACTAAAGGGCTGTTTACATGGAGGTGGGGGACCCCAGGTAGGTGGGGTAACCCGCCCTTCCGTATAATCTCTCATTTTAATTTGATCACGACGTTTACATGATAGATGGGGTGACCCGCTGTGGGTTACCTCACCTATCTGGGGCCCCCACCTCCATGTAAACAGGCCTTAGGAGAAGAGCTTCCTCCAAAAAAGAGACGTCATGGAAGACAGCGCGTTTATTACTGTTTAGATCGTTGTCCAAGAAGGTGCAAGGAGAATGCCAGGAGGTGTTTAAGTTAGTTTTAGTAACAAAATAAAATATTGACTTCGTCGTTACTATAAAATCACACCAGATTTATTCAGTTGGTCCACTCGCGTTATTTCTTATTCAATTCTCTCGATTTAACTAAGATAAAAATCTCTCAAATTCATACCATTTGAATATTCTAACACTCAATTGTTGCAAAATAGATTCATGCACACTTACAATTCAATCTGTTATTACGGACGAGAAATCACTGTGCAAACGGGCTTTAATTAAGTACGGGCTTCAAGTGAGTTCATACGACCAAAACTAGACCGCTATCAGCTCCAGTCAATCACAGCAGGCGCATGGGATTCGCTGAACAAATCAGAGCCGAAGAAAAAACACGTCATCCGTGTAAAGCGCGGGAAAATTCGAAGACTCGCCAGTGAGTCTTCGCCAGTAGCAACACCGCAATGACCTTTAAAGACTGAATTTAAATGTGCTCCACGACTATTTTCATATGCACACATTCACAACCACATTTAAACTGCAAATGCCATCTTTTGCAAAGTGACGCGTATAAGAACGATGCCTAGATTGAGGGAATAAATAATACTTTCTACAATGTACCGATAACATTAAAGGTACGGTAAAACGGGCGAAAAAGGCCATTTCAGAGACGTCCCAAGTCTCTGTTTCAATGCGAGGCTGAGTGCAAAGCCATTGATGTGAAAATAATGATTGTAATTTTCACAAGAATGGTTTTTGCTCTTAGCCTTGAACTCGGAAATGGCCTATCGTGAAACTAGTTTTGCAAAATTGCTGCAAGACAGGTAGAGTAGCAATGTTGCGCGTTTTACCATCCACGAATCAAATCTGTCTCGCGAAAAGTTGTCGCCGAAAGTAGAGAATAGTTGTACTTTTGAAAACAAAAGCTGTTCATGTTCAGGGTCTTACCGGCCCAACTGACGTAACTCGCGTGTATTTTGTGACTCTCGAGTAATCTTATCCAATCAGAAGTCAGTATTCACCCAACATTGTTGCAAGACACGTTTGATTGGTTGGTGGTAAAACCCGCAACATCATAAATCAACTCGTTTTGCAGCACTGTTGCAAAACAAGTTGAAGGTTTTTGCTGCGTGTTTTACTGCGGGCAATCGTGCCGATTTTTGATTCCCTCATCGTTTCCAATAGACCTTTTTAGCTTGTACGATTTGCTTTCCCAGTTCAGACCCCTTGATGTTCTCCAGGGAATTCGCCTTTTAAATAAATTATGCACACCTATGCACGTGGGTGCACGTGCATTATAATGACGCTATTTGAAAGAAACAGTTCACTAGGCTTTTATCACGTGAACTAAAATGGGAGAACAAAATATACAAGCTAAAAAGGTACATTTCAACTATTACTTTTAAATACACCTCTTCTATAAAAATAACTTAGTTTTCCTTTTATGTACAAAATTTTACTAATACAATCCGTTTTCCAGCTAAAATGGCATCAACATATTAAAATCCTGTTACAAAAACCTTTCTCGCATTCACACAATTTTTTGGGTGACCAATTACGTACACAAGACTATTTTATCAACCGACACATCCAGTTGGTGTCTTTGTTAACAAACAAAATTTTCCACTCTTTTTAGCCGTTGTTTGGACTAAAAACAAACAACAGCAACAAAGCAAAAACAACAGCGATGTGTGCAGTTCTTGAAATGCAGAAATCGGGGAAGAAATGTTTAATTTTGGGGGGCCATTTTAGTTGCTTAAAACGAATCGACTACGACGTAGTACCCCTCTTGGAGGGACCTAAATTTACACCAGATGCCGGCACCGTACCGATAGGACCCAGAGGAACAGTCCGGTTCCTGAAAGAAATGAATTTAAAAAATCAACCAGGTGCAAACTTTGTTGCCAGAATTTCAGCCGTCTAAGACTGATGAAATTCAGCCTACCACACTTATGGTATAAGGTGAAAAATGAGAAATTTCTAACTACTGCGCATGCGCGCTTAGATAAACCTGCAGCCACTGTGTGCCACTTATGGCAGACCAATCCCTACCACTAACAAAGCCGGTACTAGGCAGGACATATGGTAGCGTCATCCTCCCATGTAAGGCCTCGGTCACAGAGTGCTTAGATATAAACTCATTGGAGCAGAATGGCTTTCCATCATATCAATGGCGGATGAAATCGGCGAAGTATTGAGCCTAGGGGGGTTATCTAATGGAAGAACGATAGTGACTAGAATGGATACACCTAAATCAGTCTGGACACCTCGTGATTATTACTCAACGAAATACTTCTGGCAAAGAACCATTTATTCGGCAAATTTATAAAGAAAGTGCGAAAATCAGAGCGAGCCAATTGAGCAAGAAAACGAGTTGAGGATAGGGTTTAGCAACGAAGAAGGGTGATTAGTGCAAAGCTCTGTTAAAAAAAAAAAAAAACAGTTAGCTTTCACTGAAGAACGTAATGATCCATGTAAAGAAAAAGTACGTTAAAAATAACCGGTGTCGGCGGTAAGCACTTACAAAACTGACGAAAATTCTACCAACTGTCTATAACAGTAGTAGAAGTAAGATAGAATATGCTTGCTCTCACCTGGCACATGGTGACATATCATAATAACCACTTTCCATAAGAACATTTTCAATTATATTCTGCAAAATTAGAAGCAAGGTTGATCATCGGTCAATATCAGTTTTCTGAAAACAAAACTTCAAAGGATCTGAAGCTACGTGAAAGGAAGCCACTGGGACACTCAAGTGTCCATCTTAGGGACGTGGTCACGTTATAGCGAGTTGAATATTAGTGCTGACCAAGTATTTTTGAGTTATTGCCTAGAGTTTTCTATAACTTGGGAACGGCGAAAAATTTCTAGACGACCGTTCCACTGAATTTTCCATGCTTACCTAATAAATTCCCTACGATTTTCTGAAGTTTAATTTTTCACATTTCACCGCGCGGGCTGAGCAGAGTTTTGTACAAAAATGGACACTTAAAATTTTCGGATGGAGAAAGGAATCAGCAAAATTCTCACTTTCGTAATACGTTATATTGCATCTGAAATTTTCGGGAAAATAATACTGAAGCCCTTGTAAAAGAGAGATCTAAAAGTACTCTTGGATGCAGCCCCAGATATGCTGATAGACATTACAGTTACGATCTGTGAATAGGGTTTTTAACGCACGTCAACAACGTTTTTTTCAGCGACGCACGTCAACCAAATCGCCTCTAGTGGCCTTTTTCATTTTTTCACGGTGGTTTCGGTTGACGCAAAACATTCAGTCAAATCGCCTCTATAACAGTAAAGAAGCGACGCACGTCAACCGGAAGTACAAATTTTATATCATCAAGGCATGTTAAGAGGCGATTTGACTGAAAATTTGCGCGAAAACACCGTCAAAAAATTCCGGTTGACGTGCGTCGCTCAAAAACGTTGCTGCTTAAGCTCCCTAATATCTCATGCACTTCCTTACCTGCATCATTTCGTACGTTATTCCGATTTCCTGTGCGTCCGCAGTTTCAAGATTTACCCCATTCACTGTTTAAGCGAAACAGCAAAAGGTTACGACATTGTGAAACATGATTGCACAAAATTTCAGCGTTCTTCCATTCGCTTTCAAGTGAATACTTTGTCTTACTACTTTTGATTTGCTCCCTGTGATATTTCAGGGGTTGATACAAGTTCGTGAGTATTACCATTTCAGGTGCAGAAACATGTTGCTGACTATCACAATTCAGGTTTAAACACAAGATGTTGAGTACAACAACTTAAGTGTGCACACATTGCTGAGTATTACAATCTTTGAGGTAGACATAAGTTGAATGCAAATATTCACTTCTTCGAAACACTTTGCTGATTATTACAATTTCAGGTTCAAACAAACCATGTTGACAACTCAGGTTTAGTGACACCACAATAAGCAATCTCAAGTCAGGAAGAGGGATGAGATGTTGGTTTATCAATTTCAAATACAATGATGGATTCAACAATTACCTTGAAGAAATTGGGAAAAACTTAGTCTGCGAGTTAGCTTTCCATTGGGAGATCTCGCGAGAAGTCTCGCACGCACTTCGCTTGGCTAGCCCCCAAAATGGACAGCTTGCTCGCGGGCTAGGAAAAAAGTTCCCTCCCTCCCACCCCTCCCTTGTCTTACCTAGTTTGTCAGCTGTGTCCTCTAGATGATGCAGGAACAAAGGATCACCAAAACCAAACTTGAGATCGATTACTTCTCGTGAGCCCTCGATCACCTGTAATACACGTCTCTAATTAATTCCGCGCACTTTTTTTTATCAAATCATAAACTCGAGCAACTTAACCTTCAAACTGCTATACATTATTACCAAGAGAAATAAGGACATTTGTTTCAAAAATCACGTCATTTATTTGGGTTATCATCTTCGTTTTTTTTTTTTTGCGATGTTTGAGTTCGATTAAGCAGTGATATTATGAAATCAGAAGTTCGTCACCACTTGATCTTGAAAAGCACAAATAGAAAAATACAAGTAAGTAGTTGCCATTCAATCAGTTATTAGTGAATAACCTTTTTGTAGCCCTAACGTTGCAAAGCATTTGCTGGGGAAAAAAAGGCTTACCTTTTTTACTTCGCTTTTGAGATTGACAAAATAGCTGTTTTGAGGTGAAAATAACGCTCTTTTGAACTGTTCGACGATTCTTCTCTGAGGATTCGGTGATAGCGTCGGAGGTAACTGTAAGAGACAAAAATAACAACAATTCGATACGTTTAAAGTAAAAAACACAGGACGTAATGACAATACGGCAATGTCCGGGTTTGAATCTTTCCTCGGAAGCCCGAGTCCAACCCCTCGGTCATGCTTATAATAGCCGAAGGGTTGCTTCCCGCCAGTTGCGGTTTTTAACCCTGTTACGTTTAGTTGTCTTTCTGTTATTCACGATTTACCTTGCTTGCTTGCGTAAATTGCGTGAAGTGCCTGTAAACTACAATCTTGGACAGAATGAAATGGAAAAGCAAACCCCCTTCTCCCAAAAAACAAGGATCAAGCCGCGCGAAGGCCAAGACGCGCCACTTTCCCATCCCTGATTAACGGGTGGAGAAAAGGGGACATAATATCCGCCTATTTTGTCCAAGAGGGTAACTAGGGCAGCGAAGCGCTGTTACACTATAATGCAAAGATTTGTATCGTTATTTTAATCAATTAATTAATTGATTGATTGATTAATTGGTTTATTAATTTTAAACATAGTTTCGTTAGAAATCGTTTTAATGTGGACAACTTTCTAAGAGTATAAACTTCATTAAAATCTACTAAGTAGTAACTAAGCAGAATATTTCTGGGATGCTTTTCCTTTGCAAAAGCGGAAGAAAAATTACAGAAGAGGTATTTCCAGTCTTAAACTTAATACTATCCGATGACCAGTAAAACGGTTTATATCAGATTTTTTCCGGACATATTATTGCTGAATCGCTTTTTATTTTTGTTTTGCGGTTAACTGTTCTCAGCTCGTTCAATAAATGAAGTGAACATACCTGCGTTATGAAGATGATTTTATGAAGTTGATTGAGGATCTGTGAGATGGGATCATTTATTTGACGAACTTTACGGGGAGATATACTCAGAGTGGCGGCGGCAGTGGCTGAAAAGAAAATCAGCCATAACATTGCTCAAGAGAATTAAGAAACCTTTGCACCTATTAAAATTCTAAAAGACCATAACCACTAGATCAACTAGACTACTGCTGTGATCCCAGTGGGATGAGTTTAACACTCGGGCTCGCGTAATATCGTCGCGTGGCCCTCGCATGTTTCGCTTGCTCTACTAAGGATTGGTTCATACGAGCGACGCAAGCGCCGTAGAGAGCATGTATAAAGCGAGATGACACAAACACACGAAGAAAACGTTTGTCTGTCGTGTTCCGACACAGGATGCTCAATTGGCATGCGTCTGTCGCTGTTAGTTCAAAGGCATTCTTAATTGTCAAGTGACCTACTGGTAGCAAACAAGGAGTATTATCTTTGATTTACTATAATCCTGGTGTGCACTTAAGTTCTCTTTATACTATCTTCTGATCCTCGACCTATACACAAGTACTGCTGTGGGTGGGGTGGGGGTGGAGAAGAAAAGATTATAGCATGAGTGTGGTGGTAAAAGCATGACACTTCACCGCTTGTTTTCGTCTGGCTAATCCCTAAACCTAGCTAACAACGTTTTAAATTGTTTAGAAGAGAAACTAAACGTACGTGGTCTTGCTTTAAGTTGGCCGCCAGCTTGACGTCTTTGCATCTCCACGGAGGAACTAAAAATAAGCCATAAAAAGCATGACATTTAAAGACATCCATTAAATTAACGATTGCAGTTGTTCGAGGAAAGGTTTCTAGAATACAATAAGACCGCTTATAAACGAACTCCGAGAATTTGGAAAATTTCTTATTCACGAGCTTTCGTATGTCTTATAGCAGAGCTATTATAACACTTTGTCTTTTGTCACCAAATTTTGATGTACAAAATTTACACGGAGGCAGCGTGACCGAGCGGTCAGCGCGTTGGACTCACAATCCGGCGGTCCTGGGTATGATTTCCGCTCTGACCACTTGCTAGACTTGTCCGCGGGTCGTCCCGGGTTCAAATCCCCGGCCATGCCTGTAAAAAGCCGACTGGTTACCTCCTGCCAGTTGGGGTTTTTAACCCTGTTATGCCCTGTTTGGATTACTTGTTGCTAATTCTTTGAGTTAAGTGTCTGTAAACTACTGGATAAGCTAAGTGCACTTTCGAATATGAACAAACCTTTAACCTTTTAACCTAACCTTGCCGATAGCAAGAAGACTGCAGACAAACCTGCTTTGTGTCCTTCTGGATGAAATATCACTTAAACCACTCGCTGAAGTCGCGGATGGTGTCACGCCATGTGTCACGCCATGGGTGCTCGTACCATTCGATGTGCCCGCCTTACTGCTGCTAGCAAATTCAACGTGGAGCTGCCTTCGTGGGCCTTTTCGCGGACCCGGAGGCTTGGGTACGGTGAAAACGTGCGAATTAGACGTGGAAGAGTTCACGCTCGTTTTATCGACAATAGTTCTACCATTTGACGCTTTATCTGCGCCTTTAACGCTCTGCAAAGTCTTATCTCTTTCCTTAGTGTTACTGGTAAATTTTTCCCCTGTTCCTTTACTAGACTTATCAACAACAGGCTTTAACGTTCTCTGTCGCCTCGTAGAGCCTGGCGACGAGCTACCACCTGGTTTTGTGCCGCCATTTTGTTCCCCGTTTACGGCACTAGAACCCAGGTTACCATTTGCATGGATGTCCCCAACGTCAATCCCAGAATCCACCTGAGGCGTATGTTCCGTCTCTCCATTCTTGTAAACGCCGTTTTTGTTTAAGTTCAGTTCAGCTAAAGCGTTTGCAGCTTCAAACACAGTATCACTGCCTTCTGTGGCATCCACGGTCCTAAAGCCAGCGGCACCTCCACTACTTGACAAGTTTACCAGTTTGTCGTAGCGTTCTTGTGAAGCATAGAAAAGACGGTGATAGTTTTGCATGTTGCGAGTCGCCTCGATATAATGTCTGAAATGAAAAAAGAGGGTGAGTGCTATAACTCAAAATTTGATCATAGCCTTGTTACTGAAACGGTCAGCTATTACAGAACGAACTGTTGTTTAGTGAGAGTACCACCAAAACAGGTAGACCGCGAATTCAAAGGTACGCGTCACAGATGATTTTGGCGCCAGACGTTTACAACTTAGGTCACATGGCTTTGTTTGTCAAACCAAAAAGGTGAACTCACGTGGTAACATTATTTTCTCATTGCTAGAGTTTATGTATAGCGTTACAAGGCGGCAACCGAAAGAACATTTATCGATTAACATTCCGCGACCGAAACCTTTTTTCTTTTTTGGTTGATAGAGAACACCATCATTCGACTAGACCCATCTCCGCCTATCTTTGGTCCACCAAAGCGAATTCCCATGATTACCTGCAACACCTTTAGCTGGTCTAGGGAGTGTCCAATAAGTATATAGGTAATCATACTACTTCAAGTTCAATTTGGGATTAATTTACTCGAGTGTGTTTTTCAAAACCTATCAAAATTTTGGGCTCGTGCAATTTAGGCCTGTTGAAAAACACACAAGCGCAACTACATTCCAATTGAACAACAAAAGTCGCATGATTACCCCTCAATAATAAAATGAAACATTTACCAGTCAAAATTAAACTTGTGGAACCTGTTTATAACGGCCACCCACGAGACACTAGAAACTGCCCGCTGATACCATGTCAAAATTTCGCGTGAGTTGCGGCACCTGATTGGTTCTTAATTTCAATTGTTTATTGGCCAGTCACAGTGCTCCATTCTCAGAGATATTTGCATTACGGTATATTTCCTCGTTTTTGCACTGTGTTATTGCTCTCAGCCAATCGGATTTAATAAAGTATTTTACAGTATATCGATAAACACTGCATTCGCACAATGTCAACTGTAAACCATCACTTACAGGAGTTAAAATAATAAACCAATAACAATTCTATGAATGAACTAATGCCAACCTTTGAGTTCTTTTCCTTTCTCTCTCCAATTTCTTTTCCAAACTGATCTCATTTGATCGCAGCTTGTCCACATAAACCAGCATGATCTCACTGATGTTAGCAGCAACCTGATGAAAAGTAAATAAATACATAAATTAATTAATAAATCGGTTTTGAACTGGTCGTTTTCAATTATTTTGCTTCTACGTGTACTGGCCATTGTGATTGGCTGAAAAAATTCCGGCCAGGTTCTCAAAACAAGATTAATATTTTGGTCTGTATGGATAACGGATAACTTTTTTCCGTAAGTTAAAAAATATTGTTTAACAAAAAGAACCTGCAAAATTTCAGGCTTAATTTTTTTAAAGTTGTTTTTCAACCACCTAGGTTGTTCATTTAACTGCGAGGATCATGTTCACTTTCGTATCTTTATCTGCAGTTTAAAATACCGGTATGATTCATTTCACATATGTCAGTTCAATTATATATTTGCTGTTTTAAACATTAAAACGTCTTGCCACTGTAAAGAGAGCTAACGAATAGGTCTCAGACATATTTGCCTCATTCCAGAATGAAAAAGACTATTTTGATCCTCTTAAGTGCAATGTTTGACACTGCAAAGACTCTGCACAGCATCTTACCTCAACAATATCTGGTCTTTCTTCTGGATTCGGATTTAGACATCTAAATGAAAGAAAGTCAGTCAAGATCATACCCAGAACAGCAAACAAAACCAATCGGTTCAAACAAAACAAGAGGACTTTCGTGGACCATGAATCACACGTCCATACATCTTACCTTGTAACAGTCTCCGACACCTTGCTGGAGTATAGACCAGAAGGGATGGGATCATACTGAGCTTCTACGATCTGTGCCACAGAAAAAAAACTCATTTTACTAAACTGTTCACAGTCTCCTTGTTTTGCTAATCTAAAACCTTTAACTTTTTTGCCATTTTCGTTGCCTTCGCCGTCGTGGATGTCTAAAACGGACCGAAAAGATCTGAGGACGGCGACGGCAGTGAAAACGTCGCTGAAAAAGTGAATTCGCGTTCTTTCAATCTTCATCGCGATTACTCCAAGTCACTGACTTTGTCAAATGCAGGCGATCCCTCCCAAAGTTGAATTTCTAACAACCATATCCAAGTTTAGAAAGAGAGAGGAAATCTCGTCGTCGCTTGTGTGCTTCCTCTGTACATCGTGAAATTAGGCATTTTCACGTCGTAATCGTGCAGCGACGGCAAAGAAATGTACAAAAAAGCGTGATGCACGTGCAAAATTGTTGTTTTGCTAATTAAACCTATTGCTTTTGTGGCGTTCCCGTGAACGTCGCCGTTGTCGGATCTTAAGATCCCTAGAGAGGCCGTGTCACGGTTGTCTAGATATTATTTTGTTAATACAGTCAACTCCCGTTATTGTGGACACCCTCGGGACCTCGGGTTAGTGTCCGTAATAGCGAAACTTCGTAATAACCGGGTATAAGAAAAAATGTCTTGATATCAGAGGAATCACATTTATTTATATTGCGCATTGTCTCCAGAACCAATTGCAGTGCAGGTTTCGCATATAAAGAGCGTCAGAACAAATCGTAGCACAACAGAACTTGCATCTCCCCACAACAGGCACTGAAAAATTTGTAGTACACAAAAACCATTAAGTACGGTACCAGAAAATCATGACTGCTTCTGGCAAGTACGTACGGTAGTTTCATAGAAGGATCATGTTAAACAGGAATCGGAATGTTCACTTTTCAACCAAAGTGACAGAGACGAAGAGGAGATGAGGAGAAATAAATTATTTTATTATTCAAACACCAATGAAATACCACGTGAGCTTTCGCGCGAAAACTTGATATCTTCACATGTGAAAATAACATGCTATCGGCACATGTGAAAATATCACCGTTGCTATGGCTACATAATAGATCGGGCCTTTCACACCAAAAAACTTTTAAAGTGAAATGGTTGGTATTTCATTGGCGTTTATAAAATAAATAGAACATTACATGGCCGCTTGGAGATACGAAATTTCTCTTCTCGTTTTTCAGCACTCGAAGAGAAATTCGTATCTCCGCGCGGCCATGTAATATTCTCTATATCTGAGATAATTCTGTCAAAATGTCGAAAGATACTGACTGATGTCCGTTATAACGAGAATTAGAACAATAAAATTGTCCTGTCGAGACCAACAGAGGTGTCCGTAAGTCCGTAATAGCAAGAGTTCGCAATAGCGGAAGTTTGGTTCAGTCAAATGTCTCTTATTTTCGCCGGGGATTTAGCAGCTGTCCGTATTTGCCGGGTGTCCGTAATAGCGAGGCGTTCGTAAGGCGAAAGTTGACTGTACTACCAACTACGCTTCCTTACTCGTTATGGAACAACTTAACGTCAGCGAAACAATAGGTAGTTTAAGATACCAAGACGGCAACGGCCACGAAAACGTCTCTTAAAAAGTGAATTTGCGTCCTTCCAATCTCTATCGTAATTACTCCAACTCACTCACAAGGTCAAATGAAAGCGAACTCTTTTTAAGTCGAATTCCAAAGAACCATATTCAAGTATAGAAAGAGAAAGAAAATTTAGCCGTCGCTTGTTTACGTTCTCCATAAAACGATGGAATAAGCGCGATAAAGTTGAAGCAGCGCTAATTCACTTTCTGAGTGACGTTTTCATAGCCGTCTCCGTCGTTGTTGTTTAAGCTCCCTAACAGCAAGCTTAAGTAACGAGAACGCTGATGTCCCGGACGTCATGAATAGCAATGTCTCGCTTGATGAAACGCTTCTGTCTCACACAGTGAATCTGAATGCCTTTGTTTAAACTCCCGCTGTACGAAGGTGCCGAGTCAGAGCACTGAAAGAGGGAAAATATCAACTTCCGGTTGCCATTTCTGACGTCCGGGACGTCAACGTTGTCATTGCTTGCGGTCCTTACTAACTAGGGGAGAGATGTTCATGCATGGTGCAGTCCTTGACGTACCTTTGTGGCAAGCGCCAACATGTTTGAAGAATAAAATGGTGGCTGGAGAGTCGCCATTTGATAGAGAATACAACCCGAGGCCCAAACGTCTGCTTTCTCGCCGTAAGGCTGGCTTTGGACAACTTCAGGACTGAAACAAATGATGAAATATACACACTTAACGGCGATGTTAAGAGGAAAAAAAGGCCCTTATTTGAGTGTCAATGTATTTAGCACAAAAGTACTATTGGATTGAGGACACGCACTATTTTCCTAATGGAGACGAGACCGCCATTTTACGTGGTCATCTGAGCCACGAGAAGGTCTACTCGTTTGCAGGGCAAAGGCAGTACCTTCGTGTCGCAGTTATTTTTTGCGACCCTAAGTATTGATCCGGTCCCGGGAATCAAACCTGTGGGCTCACTCTGCAGTCAGGCGCTCTACCCACTCAACTAATCCTGCCACGGTCAATAAGAAAATCAAAAATTTTATAAACAACTCTCTTACCAGGAATACAATATAGTTCCAACCATAGACGTCATTTTGCTTGCCTCTGGGTTTTTCTGCTTTGCTAAGCCAAAGTCAGCTGCAAAAGACAGAACGAAAACAATTATACTCCTCTAGTGGAACAGAAACAGCGACAACAACAAAGGGGACAGAATCCAAAGCACTTGTCTTACTTATAGTGACTTTATCATTTTCTCCCAACATGATGTTGTTTGGTGTAAGATCTCTATGAACGATGAACTTCTCTTTGTGAATGTACCGTAATCCAAGGACAATCTGACATAGAAATGAACGAAAGGTACGTTGTTAGCACAAAAGGGTCCTATATAAAAAAGATGAATTATCTTTAACCGAACGTTGGATGTACATGACACATAAATCGAGACGTTTCGACCGCTTTGGGGGGAGGGAGGGGGGTTGGGTGTCCAAGAAATATTCATTCAAGCACACTCATCTCTCTCAGACCCGGACACCTTTTGGGCCAGTACTATGTCACGGTGTCCGTCTTATAAAGAACTGAGTCAACTAAAAGGAGCGAAGAAAGGCATCCTAGGCACCAACTATAGGTGTCCGTCTTATGGAGTTGTCCCTTAAGGGAGAGCTGACTGAAGCTGTCCATCAAAAGGAGCTCGAACGCCTCAAGAACAAAATCTTACTGACCTCATATAGGTTAAACCTTACCCACTCCCACAACCCTACAGCTCCAAAAAAAAAAAGAAATTTAGCACTTATATCCATGTGACAACAGCGACGACAATTTTATCATTGTGCACGTAATTCGTACTTACCAAGCGTAACCAAAAATCTTTGGTTCACAATAATATAGAATGAAAGTTTGGATGGAAGGGATGGGTGAAAAGGAGATGATAAAGAACAAGAATTCCAAAACAGGCAGGCCCAGCGATGAACACGGAAACGGATCAATAAATACAGCAAAGGAAAAGGAGGACATAGAGGGAAAAGGGTAAATGGAAAGAGAAAAAAAACTGGGTCCCCGATAGTAAAAACTGCAGATTGAACAAACGAATGACGGGAATGAAATGACAAAATTGTGAATACAAGAGTGAACTATTGAGAAAATATATAATAACACGAAATTTCCAACAACGTACCTGGATAAAAATGTGCCATATTCTCTCTTCGGAAAATCGTGTTCCCTTTTCCTTTAAGGAATTGAAATGTTCTCCAAGAGGAGCACCTTCCACTAACTCCATAATAATATACAGCTTATCCTCTGTAAAACAGACCAGTGCACCGAAAATTTGACCAAAGTTTTTGCGCAACAATTTAAGTTATGAAATAGCCGACATTTCGCGACATGCCACCACTGGTTTCCCCGCGAAATGACGTCTGAGAAACGACTGCAGAAATTCTATACTGATGATGTCTCATTACCTAGATCTCTGTAGTGCTTCTGATTGGTCGTGCCACCAGAGGATTTGCTTCAACCAATCAGAAGCACCACCCAGATCTGGGGAGTGACACGTCATCAGTATGGAATTTCTGCAGTCGTTTCTCAGTCTTCATTTCAAAGTGAAACCAGTGATGGCATTGCGAAATGTTGGCTGCTTTCTCAAGCTAGAAATAGCACCATGTGAAAATAATGAAGAAGAGGTTTATTCGTTTAAAAGTGATAACACCACCATGAAATGTTGTTCACTTACACGAAAGCACTGATTTGGGGAGTGCAAATGCCCACTAACGAATTATTCATACCTCGCTAAGGCAGACATGTTGAAAACATGTACTTTCTTAGTAACGTTTCACGCCTCAAATTATGACTTGTCGTTGCCTGTACCAGGCTCCGAGATAGTCGGGTACCCGAAGTTGAGAAAGCGCAAACGTGAAAATAAAACGAGAGCTGATATTTTCGTTCGCCTTAAACTTGCGCCTCATCTCTACGTTCTCAGAGCCCGCTCTCTCCCAAAAGGGGAGAGAGTAGACGTGTGGCCGTCAATTTTAAAGATTATAAAACTACTTACTTTCTTGAAAGGCCTTGTGGTACTTGACGACATTTGGGTGTCTTAGCTGAGGGATGAGAAAACATCAAAACTGGGATTCTCATCAATATAATTACAGAGTACAGTGCTGATCAAGTTGTTCAAAATACGCATAATGCTACCCAATGTATAAGTCTCTCACGAACAACCAAACTGATTTTGTTAACACCTGACTTCTCTACTGCAGGGGTCTCGATAGAGAGCTTAAGCAAAGACGACAGCGACGTCAACGAGAACAGCAAAAAAGCAATTGGTTTAGATTAGCAAAACACGCACGTGCATCACGCTTTTTTGTACGTTTCTTTGCCGTCACTGCTCTACTACGGCGTGAAAATGATTATTTTCACGTTTTGTGGAGGACGTAAAGGCAAATGGAGGACGTAAATGCTGGCTTCTGTAGAAATGATTTTAATTGCATGCTGAGACCACGACTTTCTCTTTAATTACTCTAATCAAACCTAAGTAATAAGTGACTTTTTCGCGCCCCTCATTGACGTAGTAGCTTAAGGCCCCTGAGTAATTAGACTACGAGTAGTCCCCCATTTTTCCTCAGGGATAGTAGAGCGAACGAAACGCAAGCGCGCCTAAAAATCACCCCACGCGAGAAAAGGCGACACGAGGCTGCGAGAGAGAAAAACGAGATCATTTTTTTCTCTCTCCTCATCACATATCGCCTTTCTCGCGTGGGGTGATTTTCACGCGCGCTCGCGTTTTGTTCGCTCTACTATCCCTGAGGAAAAATGGGGACTACTCGTGGTCTACTCAGTAATGTAAACAGATGTGAAAATAGTACCTGTTCTTTCATGATGGTTGTCTCATTAAGAATCTCTCCCACGCTCTTTCCTCTGTCCTTAGCTGTTTTTCCAAGAGCGGGGTTATTGACAGACAACTACAAAGAATAAATAGAGAAATCAAATACGGCACTAAAATGACTTTCTTTCACACAAAATGACGCAAAAATTTAACTTATACCTCTTTCATGGCTAGAAAATGACCAGCATTCTTCTTTCTGACCTAACAGCGGAAAAGAATAAAAACGTTTAGAGGATGACTACTCGAAGCGTGCAAGAAAAAAATAAATATTTGAAAATTATGCCTTTTGGCGGGGCGAGCCGACAACGTCGGCGAGAAGAATGGGGCGAGTAAAACTGAGCCTTCACGCGTGCTATTTAATTTTGCTAAGGACTGGGCACTTCCTACTCACCTTATACACGCTGCCAAAAGCTCCTGACCCAAGCAGCTCTAACACTTCATATGAGCCAATGGAATGGCTGGGAGCTTTGTTTTGATTGGTTGCCAATATATTGTTCCTTATCACTGAGATGTCCTCCTCCTTTAAAGGGAAAACATAGCAAAGATACGCTCAACATTCAAGTAATCTTAAAAGATTACTTGCCCAAGGAGCAAGAGTCCAGGCAGATCATCCTCTAACAAACAAGCAAGGAAACTGCTTGCACAAAGGACAAGATTGAATTCAATGTCCTGTCTTGTTTTCTTGCAAATGTTACTTATTTTAAAACACCCATGCACATCTGTGTAATCACCATTTCGGAAATACCGTATTTACCCGAATAAGCGCACGGGCGCTTATTCAAAATGACGGCTAAAAGGGGCGGCGCTTACTGGAAGGAGGACGTTTGATCGAGGGGGGCGCTTATTTTCAGTTTTCCTTTCAACGAAGTGTAACTTTGTTTTCAGCTAAATCTTTAACAGAAACGTCGAGTTAATGTTAATAGTCTTTCGTTTGTTCAAACATCGCTTAATAATCAAGCGTACCGTTGTTCCATTCAACGCTTAACACATAGCTGTATCGGTATGTGCATTCATAAAATATCACGAGTCGACTACTAGGCTCCAAAAAAAACTGATGATCTCATCATCCTCGAGATCGTCCTCGTCAATGATATGCACATCTTCGCATTCTTCTTGAATCCAACTATTTAAGAAATTGAGGGGGAGGGGAGGGGAGGGGGGCCCTTATTCTAAAAGAGCGCTTGTTTGATACAATGGCCAAGGGGATAGGCGCGTATTCGGGGTAATTGAATAACTACTATGGCCCTTTAAGGTAAAGTTCTTCAACGCATCAGTGGGGCACCGAGCAAGATTTAGTAAATATTGAGCTTGAAATTTACCGTTAATGCTGAAATCTTGTCGACGAGGACTTTGTAGCTGTTTAGTTCTCTCACATAATGTCCAACATCGATGAATTTCTCAAACAAGTCAGGGGGAAACAACCTGAAAACCGAGAATAAAATGGAAAAAACCTCTCAAACCACACCTAGCTTAGACCACGAGCGGTCACGCGCGGTGAGCGAAAAAATAAACATCATGAACGCATTTATTGTGACTGAAAAGAAAAATAACACGTAGCTATGATTATTTCAGAATCAGAACCTCGCTTCGTGTCGTCCTTAATTTCTAACTCAAGTCGGGTGTGAATTTTTCAATAACTTTCAATGCCATACTTACCGTTTAAATAACTGGCGATTTCTTTCCATGCTGAAAAGAAACCTATAGAGAAATCAATCAGTCTTAGTTATCTGTTCACATTCAACCATAAATTTCATGCATTTACGGAACAGAATTTCTCCGTGGTCCTGTTTTCCAGGCGGTATTAATTTGCTCTTAGTGAATACGAGTCAAGACTGACTGCTGATCATGCTGTGAAAAAGGCTCACAGTGGATCCAACATTCAGCTTGACAAAGAGAAAAAGACTCACCTCAACGCTCTGAAAGCACTTTTCTGCAAAAAAAATGCAACAAACAGTTTTAAAAATGGAGAAGATACAATCGGGGCGGGGGGGGGAGAGGTACTCCCTATAATGGCCTATTTGGGGAGGCTCCGCCCGAGGGGGATACCTTTTCCAGGCTTCAGGTATATTTAAGGGTTGAAGTATAAGAACTGTCACTGCGGTCTGTGGAAAGAACCAAAAGTGTTAACACAGAGCCGTATTTTTTGGCTGTGCAAAAAACGAGAAAAATTCCTAGTTTAGTGATTTATTTCGCATATTTAAATTAAAAGACGGTGCATTTATAGCAATTAAAAGAGATGCAGTGTCCTAAATTCGTATGTTAAAGGGATACCATTTGTCAATAGAAGGTATATGAATTAAGGGTACCTTTTCTGTCGAAAATGGTATATAAAAGGGTAAGGGGTTAGATCTCGGGCGGAGCCTGGCTGTGTAAAAAATTTTGAGTTGTCCCTTCCTCCTGCGTGGAATACAATAATTTTCTTTATTATTATTATTTTTTTTTTTTTGAAAGGTGGATATTTGGGAAAATGCAGATATTGAGCTCTTCAATCTTTTTACAGCGGTAAATTAATTTCAAATATTCAGGACACACATGAAGCCCTGAGCAACATTCGATAGGTTGACCTCAACAGAGGAGGGTAGTACCTGCAGATGTTCAACAGTAGCAGCTTCTTCTGAAGAAGACGTTTCTTGCGGCAAAATCAGCAAACCCAGAAGATAAATACCATTGGACTGAAAGTTAAAGTAGAGAAAGGAAAATTAGTTTCTTTATACTGCAAATTCTCGCCTTTTCCGCTACCCTTTGGGCCGATTTGTCGACGCATCTTTTTGAAGATGATGAGAAGTTTTGCAGGTCATTTACACGAAGAATCCAATGGGAAGCTACGAAATTACAGTTGAACCACTATAAAGCGGCCACCCCCGGGTACCGGCAAGTGGCTGCTCGGGAGGTTAGCCGCTCAATAGAGAATCGTCAGAAATTAGCATAACATGAGCATTATCTTTAGCAGAAATATCCTCTTTATTTTGAAACAGACACGCGATGGGAGGAGCACTACTGGTCCACCATCTGTCTCGTCACTTTCTATTTCGGACTATATTTTCCTTCATAATATTCTAGGAATATAGTCAAACTAAGTGTATCAAGCGCTTGATGACCGCTTAAAATAGGTTTCCGTTTTATTTCGGCCCAATGGTGACAGGCCGCTTAATAGGGGGTGGCTGCTTAATTAATGGAGTTCAACCGTTTTACCAACTTTACGGTCATATTTCTACGCCTTTAGAATGGTAGTCACAAAGAAAATGCCCAGCGTTGCGGACACTGCATGATAATGATGAAAATAACTGACTGTAGGACAATCTACAGTTTCCCACTATAGCTTTGTATGAAAGATTCACCCAGCGACCTTTGTGGCGTTACAAGTGCATGTTATATAAAAGTATGGAATCCCTAACGAACAGGGTTCCCAAGTGTCCACTGAAACAGTGGGTAAGACAGAAGATAGGCAGGGTGTGTGTACATGGAGTGTTGTACGTAGGGCATATTAAAATGGTAAGTACATTGGAAGCCCTCGTAAGCGGACACCCTCGGGACGGGAAAAACGTGACCGTAACGGGAACTTAGAAATACAGCGTTTGTATAGGAGTTGAGAAAAATGGGGTTTTGTGAAGGCGGCAGTAAGTAGAGCTGTCCGCTTAGGAGAGTGTCCGTTAGAAGAACTTCCAATTTAGTTATATTTGTTGAGGGAACAGGTGCTTTAAAGCAGTCACCGTTATCTCAATATGAACCTAGCAGAAAATGTTGAAGGTTAGAAAAAAGCACTGACATTGAGCGACCATTCAACAAACTGCAATGCAGCCACTTCCAACACAAGTATACAGTGCAAAATAAATGATAAAAGGAACAGTCTACAGTCTACCAACCTGTACAATTTGCTGTCCATTGGTATCATTGACGACGAGTTCAGTCAGAGCAGAGCAAACAGCTAAAACATATTGTCAAAGACAGCAGTGTATGAGTGCATCTTATTCTTCTATAAAAGAGGAGCTAAGCATAGTGTTTACGACGAACGGAAAACGACAGGATGCATGCTTACGCATTGTTGTTGTACGATTACAATTACAGAGAAAATCCCTCTCACGCTTATACGAAACATGAACGCACTCATCTTTGCGTTGCAAACGGCGAGCGAGAAACGTCAAGCGTAGCAGTTGTAACAGACAGCGGGAAAACTGGTGCCAAGTTTATCTTTGTCTTTTTCAAGTAAGTTGAGCATGATCGTCAAAAAGTGAGTTGTATCACGTTAGTTGATGGTTATTGACCTGATTGGTCAATTAAGTCGCAATGTTATTGGTCGTCTGTCCGGACGATAATGCTAAACTTACTTATGAAATGACTGTTGGGTTCAACCCTTTCATAGTTTAACTGACTTTTGTTAAGCTGCAAACGAATAAGAATGAACATCCTTGCTTACCAGTTTTCAAAGACAATGTTTCTTCACCAATCTCGACATCTGCTGGCTAAAAACATGTACAAACAAATAAAATGAATAAAATTAACAAACTAAATTCAAGTACCTGACTTGCTAACCACATCTCAAAGAACCAGTTTTCCGCCAAAAGTTCAAAAAATAAAAATTCAAAAAAGAAAACAAATTCCTCATCTACAAAAATTAATGCTGCAAACCAATTGGTACCACGGATTTTCGATCAACAACTTATAAGTTCCAACTATTTTTCGTTACACATCAACAACATTTTTATTTTACCTCTAAGGTAAAGCTAAGACTTTATTATTGTCACAATTTCTTACATTTATGACCCAAGAGTACAGCAGTATACACAATCTCTAGGCTCAAGGATTATGCATCCAGGCCTGATGGTTTCATATATCAAAGGAAAGAGGATGATAATCATCTACTTTATGCTTTAAGCAACGCAATCAAAGCATTCACGTCACTTACATCAGCACTGATAGATGCCTTTGAACTGTCAGAACCAAGATATAACACGTCACTGCTCGACTTGCGATCTCTGTAATAGATACGAAAGCGAGTTAGAACTAGCTTGCAAAACAGGCATATTTTGTAGTGCGAGCAATGATACTAATGTTTTCCCGCCATCTTGGACGTTGACCTAGCTGGTTTAAACCTGAGCACGGATTATACCTCCAACACAGATTTTAAGTTGGTCTGCGAAAACAGCCTTGTCTCCTCGTTCCAGGTCTCTAGCGGCGAGAAGCGAGAGAATACGGCTGTTTTCGCAGGCTTATTCTAAGTGCAAGACAGCCCTTTTAAAAAAACAAACAACTAACAAAAAGCAATTATAAGTGCAAGACAACCCTTTTAAAAAAACAAACAACCAACAAAAAGCAATTCTCTGAAGTACATTTTCAGTGGTACATTAATAGTGGCCGTCATCTTTTCTCAGAATAGGCCACTTGTATGATAGCGTCATTTCCCTACTACCACCAGAGTCCTTCAGGGTATTTTTTTTGTGCAAATTGGGGCTTTTGTTATTTTAACCCAGTGTAATTACCAAATTCAAAAATGAAAGGAAATTAAAATGAATTCTAATCAAGAAATAAAACAAGAAAACCGTGAGATCGTATTACGTTGTTGCTGAGCAACTTACTGCAGTAAAGCAAGCAGAAGGGGAATTCCACCAAGTAGTCTGATGTCATTACTCGCGTCTGCATCTTCTGCCAGTTGAACAATGATCCAAACCTATATCACACAAAAAGGAAAGTTCAATCTTTCGGTAAATTCCCCAGACCCTCCTTAGACAGTTGCCTCAGTAACGTGCAAACACTTCATGTATGTACTGACGAAACCTCTCCTAAGCAGATACTTTTTCTGGGTCGGGTGTCGGTTTATGGAAGTATCAATAATTATTACAGGGTTCGTACCCTTTTTTGAACAAAAAATTCACGGACTTTTCAAGGACTTTCAAGGACACATTTCCCAAACAAAGGCAAAATAAAATAAATTAATACAAATTTTCCAAAGAATCAGTTTATTAAAGGAAACTAAAGGGATAAAGTTTGTGTTTACCTGGCAGACACACTTACATAAAAATAAACAATTGGAACCTCAAAATCAGTTGCACTTGGGAGTGCACCCGGAACTTTGATGAGGAAAGAATTTGTTTCAAATTTCTGTTACAATTCAAAACATGCATGTGCTTTTATATCATCATTCAAAACTCATCAAAACACTTTATTCTCGGTGAAAGTAAAACTATTACAAGCGACAAGATGATGATAATAATAATGATAATAATAATAACAATAATAATAATAATAATAATAATAATAATAATAATAATAATAATAGTAATAGTAATTTATTTACTCACCACATTCCACAAAAGCTTTTGATTATCACAGTGAAGTAGGCTGCAAATAAATTAACCAAAAACTATTACTTTCTAAAATCAAAGAAAAGAGATTCAAAGGGGCGTTAGGCAAGAAAAGCTTGCTGCATTTACATGTTGCAGGAGTTTACAAAATAATAATTCGACTCTCACCTTAGACATATTGGAATTCCATCAAACACTTTCACTTGTTCTCTAATGTTACCGTCTGCACACAAAATTCTAAGCAGTCCAGCTGCAAGACTGAAATAGTGGTAAATTGACAACCAAAAAGTCAAAACAAATTCACATACACCAGGTAAGGCAAATGAATGCATTTTAAATATTTGAAATAGCATTTCCAAATTACAGGGTTCTCCAGGAAATTTAAGGTACATGTGAAAGCCAACTAAAAGAAAAGCAGTTAAAGTAGGCAGTAAAACAATACAGCGTGTCGATCATATGAATCAGCCAAAAAAGAAGATGAGGTGCGGGGGGGGTTTATTCGAGGGGGTTTGGCCTACCTTCCAATGGGGAATGTTAATTCTGGGGAAACTGAAGAGTGCATTTCAGAGATCTTATTCTAGCCATGAGAATGGCACCTTTATTTAAATGTACGTACAGTTGCTTTATTTTATGCATGAATATTATTAATTATTAGCATCTGTTCAAAATTAAAAACAAGCTGAAAATCGGTTGTTTTTACAAATAAAGTTGGGAAGAATTCTCGATATTTTGTGTGTGTTTTTGAAAAAACAATTATTCCACTTACACTCGTTGGATATGAGATGATTATAACCAACTCGCCACTATGCATCTCACTGGCTATCTACCATCTCATATCCAACACGCACTTGTGGAATAGACCCTGCAGCACTTGTACTATAGACTCTGCCAGTGTATTATTGGGCTTTTAAATAACAGATCTTAGTACATTTTTGGCTTGAAACAGCAAACATATATAAAACTCACGTTTTGGAGAGCATATCATATTCTTGCAGTATTCTTAACAGTATCTCAGTGCTGTTCAGTTCACCAATCAGGGCTCGTGGTCTTTCACTAATGACAAAAATAAAGTATAGTTAAATTGACACAAATATAGGTGTTAGAGAAAATGTACAGGTGGATAAATACAGTGTGCAGCCACAAAAAACAGGGTGAGATGAAAATAAAAAAATATTATATAGCTTGACCTTTGGACAAGCTGTTGCTGAGGTAAGCTATGCCAGAGCAGTTCTAACAACCTCCCTTTTCACTAACATAGTACTTTGCCTTGACACATGTTACTTGCTTGTCAGACAACTCATAATAAAAACATGCTAGCCTAGTGACTTCACTAGTCCTTGTTTATTGGACAGCATTTTTCATGCCCTGATAAACGTTTTATGTTTCAATGGAACATCCCTAACTAGTTCTGTCTGAGGGAATCAAACTTGTGGTTTAAAAGTGGAAAAGTAGTTACAAACCTTTGAGCCAAACCAATCAGGGCATACAAAGAACAGTGAAGAACCATAACATCATTGGCTGACAGAAGTAAAACAAGAGCCTACAAATGAAAAATATATTACAGTGTGTAACAATGCCCTATAGATAGCCAAAACATAACAATTTTCAGAGCAACAGAACACTTTTCTTCTAATAGCTCTGAGTAGGAAATTTTTGTACAGTTGAACATCCATGTGTGACCACCTCTTCTGAGTGACCAACTCCCATAGGCAACAGGGTGCAAAGAAAGTCATTTTTACAGCTTGCCATTCGGGCAAGCTGAAGCTAACATTTACTAGCTCAAATATCATTTCAACTTGCCCACAAAACGTTTTGATGAGCAGATTGATTTCACAGTTTCTCTGTTATTTGAATTCCTCAAAAAAATTCACTTGCCCATCAGACAAGTTAATCACAGAAATCACTAGCCCGATAGCAAAATCCACTAGCCCTGGGCTATCGGACACTACTTTCTTTGCACACTGAAGCAACCACTTAGATCCAAAACACAAAAATTTTCCCAGGTATAGCTTTATAGTGGAAACCTTTGTAAATGACCACCTCTCGTAAGCAACCAGGACTGTCTTTTTACTTTAGAATAATGGTTTTAGAATTTTCCATTGTTTTAACCTCTTCTAAGCGACCACCTGAGACAATGTTCTGATCTTTGTGTTCACTGTATGTACTATGCCTCAGAGTATGCACAGAACGTTTAGAGACAACATGGATTTAAACTACATTTTTAATTGCATGAACATAATCATATATAATAATAATTATTGCATGCAATACATTCTCTCCAGAGAGTACATGTGTCAATTCTTCCCATTGCAAAAGATCTCCAGTTCAACTATTGAATTAAGCAACCACCTCCTGCAAGCGACCACTACCTCTTTCCACTTTAATTTGGGTCATTGCGTACGGGGTGGGGTTCGACTATATACAAACCTTGTGAGTACTACAGGCAACAAGCCACTCCCTCTGTTCGACATCTGCTGAAAGCTTTTGACAAATGTCTAAAAAAGAAAATAAAACCATAAGAAAAATAGGAAGCTTGTAAAACAAACATACTGATTTCACAGTACTGTATCACAAAAAATATATATATAACTAAGGAAGGATTAAATTTACTTGTCATTTCCTTCAAAATATCAACTGTGAAGGGCTCCTCTCCATTCTCAAGATAACTTTCGGTCAGAAGCTGTAGCCGCTGTAAAGATAGCAAAAGAAGGAACATGAGGATTTCTAGCAGTTTTAAAGGAATTAAAAATGTACATTATGTACAATGTACTGTTGAAGTTCAAATAATTTTCTTGATTTCATGATTTTAAACCCAAATTATCAGTGTTTATCAGTGTTTTGCCTCAATTCCCCAGATTATAGTGAGAAAAGTCTTGTCAAATAATCCATTTTAATTAACAGTTGCAAACTGAAAAAGAGTAATGAAACAGCAGAAATGAAACCAACTGGGAATGTGATTATGGTCAGTAGATATAAACAGAATTTCGATAGTTAACCAAAGGTCATTTTTTTGGGCTTCAACTTGTTATGCACCAGCCTCAGAACTGCCTTAATACCTGCATCACTCTTATAGCACACAATGCATCAATAATATAATGCTAAGTGAATGTACATGTAGAGTGTAAATAAAATTTACCTCTGAAAGAATCTTGACTCCACCAAGATTGAAAAACTCCACCTTAAATGATGAAAATTTCATACCAACTCAATATTCATTGAAAGTACAAACCCGCACAAGTAAATCATACTTTTCATATTCTCATGATTAGCTACAGGGTTGTCACTAAGATTTCAAGTTGCCGGGTAAATACAACAAGTAGGCGGGGAATCAAATGGCTAGGGATTTCTTTTGGTTCTATTTTTCTTCTATTTTCCGATAAAAGTAGCCGGGGGCTACTCTCTTAGTAGCCGGGGAAAATCCCCGGCCCCCGGCTCTTAATGACAACCCTGAGCTAGCTCACAGGTGATTAGGCAAGCATGTAGAGTGTTCATACTATTTAAAGAAAAACAAAAACATTAAACACTTACACTGGATTTTCTTCAGTGATTACAGGGTGTCAAAATCCAAAAACGTTAGAAAATAGTTACACAAGATTGTACAACATTTCCAGTTGTTTGCTTGATTCACATTGGTTGAACTCATTTGATAACCTGACTAATCCCATGTGGCTTTGTGAGCGTTAATGTGTGTTGCACTGTACACAGTATTTTAAAATTTCTAAGAAATGTGCAAAAAAGTCTGATGAGCAACCAGAGTGTTTTTTGCATATGAAACTTCATGCCTATTTGGCGATCTTGCTGCCATTGCCGTTGCCATTGCTAAAACTTCCTGATCTACATGTAATGGTACCTCCTATCAGGAATTGTGACTGCACTCAATTTTGTTTTAAAAACTGAAAGACTCTGTTGTATTTCACTAATATCGGGGCTTCTGACAGGTCGCAGAAGAAAAAGTCAAATTTCGCAGGAGTTTTCAGGGCAAACTTCACCTAAAAGCAATCGGTAAAAAACGGCCAATTTTGTGGTTAATTATTTTCAAGGCAAATTTCGCTAGGAATCAATCGGTTTTGCACTGATCAGACCAGCATTTTTAACATTTTTCTAACAAATGTCATCATTTGCTCTTTCAACAACAATACGCTCCAAAAATGAACCAATGGCAAAACCTTTAACATCATGGCTAGTGCCCAGTTTTTCCCAACATAATCTACACCTGGTAGTTTCGGGACATTGTTTGCACGTTTCAGTGATGAAGTTCCAAGATAAATTTGCAAGTTTACGGCAAGTAAATAGCCCCAATAGCTGAAATAAGTTTCAAATATGTTGTACAGACATGTATTTGATAAGATTTCTACCGAATTTCGCGGTATTTTTCGTGTTTTTGTCAAATTTCGCAGGATTTCGCGGATTTACCTGAATTTCGCGGCTCCGTGACCGCGCAAAACATCAGAAGCCCTGTAATATTCAATAATTTTGCACTTTTTTCAGAAAATTATACAAATTATTGACTTCAAGTACACTGTATGAGTGATGTACACAGGGAATTTAGTAAGAATAAATATAATATATAATATATTGATCAGAGAATGAAGAACCATGTTGTCACAAAGCAATGCTCATGTGAGAAAATTCTCCAACTACACCCCATACTGGCCAAGCTGCCGTAGATGACGTGTAGAGTTATGCAAGTAGGACAATCAGGGATTAAAGTGGGCATGACCATAAAAATTACATACCTGGAATGTAGTGTCCCTCATCAACATTCTAAGGCATATCAAAACTCTAAGGATGTTTTCGGGAGGAACTCTTTCAATCCATTCCCTGAAGAAAGCACAAAAGAAAAAGCATTGCCAAAATGAACAACCAGGAATGGATGAAATAATGTCAACCTGAATTTTGTTTCGACCTTAAACTTGTACATGTTTGCAATATCTACATTATTATCAAAAACAACCTTGGCTTACTGATGGACAAACTACCTATGTACATGTACACATTAAAACATTTATTTAAAACATGCAACAAGTCATATATTACAGTTTACTACATGTAGATATATGATACATCAACTGAAAATACTTACAGGCAACAGACTCTTTGCTTTACTAGGGACGTAAAGATCTAAAATTCAACAATAATAAATCACTTTTATTACTGATATGCATGTATATTTATAGTGGTAGGCTAATAAGTCATTTATTTGCTACTCTGAGTTTCATGCTTCTTACAAAGCAATGTGATTGCTTCGTGCGAAGCATGAAACTCGGAGTAGCAAATAAATGACTTATTAGCCTACTGCTATAAATATATTTACAACTCTGATTTTTCCACTGAGTACTTTTATAGCTGATAAAGTCTACATTTCTTACCACTGGTAGTTAGAAATATATATGTACAATGTGGACAAAAGTTCCCGAAACATACAATGTAAGGCTCACAGCTGACGTAAACAAAGAAAGCAAGACATCCTTAACAATGAACCTAGCCCTGACAATATTTCATAAAACAAAGAAAACAAGGAAATTATATTACACCAAAGATGATCCAAACATAAAGGCTTGCAAACACACCTGGGTGAAATATGTCTGATGAGTATGTGAGCTAAAATTCCTGACACTTTGGTACCTGGAACTGTGCATACAGAGAACAACAGATAATATCAATTACATTTTATATACTTGGCTTTAACATGAAATTATTAAAATAATTAATAAATAAAGAGAAGTTTAAAAAAGACCTTTGTTCCTTTGGTTTGCATATTTAACAGAAATAATAAATTATCATTATTATTATTGGATTAGAACATTGCTTTCTTTTGAAATTTTCAGGTCAGTACACACATTCGCAAGAGGTTCCAGGACACCCCTCCACAAAATTCCATATGGGGATTTCAATGATGACTGCCACTTAAATGCTACTAATATTTTACGATCTTTTTAATATTTTTATTTCATTTTTAATCATGAAATGACATGAGTTTTTTTTTTAATCAAAATGAACACGAGCTTATGAAATGAAATGACTTGTAAATAGTGCTTTGACTGAATTTTTTTTTTCTTCTTTAACAAAATTAATTGTAAATAGGTTTAATAGTTAGGTTTGTTATCAATAAAAGGTTAATTATTATCATTATCTTTATTATTATTATTATTATTATTATTATTATCATCATCTTTATTATTTTCCTTTGTCTCTTAGGGCTAGGAGACAAAGGAAATTAAGGAATCAACCTAGGTTAAATCAAAATTAACCTGAAATCAAATTTGAACTGCAACACATACCTGAACTTTTCCAAGGCCAGTGCTTCTGTCGACTGATGTTGGTGAGGTAAAGCATGAGTTTGAGCAGCCCAAGGATTAGGGGTTGAGTTTTGGTTTTCATCTGTTATCCATGAGATGGATGGCAACTATCAACATAAAAAATAAAGATAAACATGAGTTTTTAGAGTTGCCAACAGATGGTCTTATTTATTGGGCAACATGCTCATGCTTCCAGTGAGGGGGGAGAGATACGTGCCCCTTTCATTTACCAACAGATTCCGGTGTGCTTGAAATGTACATTTTCAGAAGCAACAGAACATGTAAAAAAAGTACATGTAGTCTTGTTTATTCCAACCAAATGTTCCAAATGGAAATTCGCCATCTATTTGTTCAATGGACATCTTGGATACCTGCTTCCGGCTTTTACAGGCACCTTTCCAGTAAATGGATCTCATTTGTGCAAATGATACACATGGTTCGGGAACGAATACCATACCATACATAGGTTTTGTTTTCCATTTGCAAACCGTAAGCCCACTAGTTTGCCTGGCCATGTAAATGGGGAGTGCCCTACTCTTTAGGGTGCCTAAACGGGTACCTTTCCTGACTTTACATGTAGGTATATGAAAGGGTACCGTTGGTACTTCACAAGTTAAAGAACTGTACAGCAATGAAAGGGTACGAAATTAATTTTATTTTCTCAGTTGTCTCATACTAACCAAATTCAAAATATTTTGCACAGACATACATTATGGCTGTATTATTTTAATAGATTAAACACTGCACATAGAAATGATCAAAAGACTCTTAATTGTTTTAGGTTATCATCACAATGTGCATCTTCTGAAACCCATTCCAAGGATTTAGGAAAAGGATTCAGTTTTAGGCAGTTAAATATAAATCTTGTATTTAACCTATTTTCAACAGAGCTGCAATGTTACATTAATTTTTTTTCACAAGGTAGAATACAGATCATGAGGGACAAGAAAGCCTGGTTTTTCCTTGTTAAGGTTGACAAAAATGTCATAAAGGCCCTTTATGGCAAAGTGTCTCAATTGTACAAGTACATGTACATGAGGAGCAAGGGTGTTGCAGTGGTGAGAGCACTCGCCTCCCACCAACGTGGCCCGGGTTTGAATCTTGGTGTCAACGCCATTATGTGGGTTGAGTTTGTTGTTCGTTCTCTCTCTAATTGTTCTGAGGGGTTTTTCTTTCTCCTTAAAAACCAACACTTCCAAATTCCAATTCGATCTGGAAAGCAGACATGTTTCCACAAGTTCTCATGAACTCTTAAGTGCTCCCCAGTTAACAAATTACAATTACAATGTACCTGTTGCTTGCTTGCTGGTGTGTTGAGTAACTCCAGCAACCGAGACAAATCTTTCATCTCATTGTCTCTACAAAGAAAAGAAAATGTTAAAATAAAAGTGCACTGAATAAATATATACTAAATAAATATATAAAGAAGAGGGGCGTAATGATTCACATTCCTTGCGATTCAATTCGATTTCAATTATTGTATTTGATTTCGATTACTTCCATTTGATTATGTAAATTATGTTTCTTAATTCTTATAACATACCGTGTAATGTTAACAACATGCAACCCTAAACCCTCAATTTGAAAATTCAATAGTAACAGGGACAGGAGGATTCATATATAGTCGCTTGGTTCATCACCATGTTTGAGAACCTGACAAAGATGGTTCGCCTTATGTGGAAATTCTCAAGGAGTCGTTGAAGGACAGCATTTTTAACCAGGCAACACAAAATGGCGCACAAACTGCTATCATCTTTGCTCGTCAATCAAAAACGCACATTTTAAAGAATTCTGGATTCTGATTTTACAATATAATAACTCACTGAGGGCACCCTAGAAAGTGTGTGTAAAAATCGAAGCAAAATTGAAACGTGGAAGCAAAGAATCATGAATCGAACCGAAAGGTCATAATCGCGATTAATCGAGAATTTGATGATTTATTAATCATTACACCACTAATACGGAAGTACCTGTAAAGTACATGTAAAGGTTATCTGTTTACCTCCTATAAAGCAAATTACAGGTTAACCCATTCGTCCCTGAAGATTTTACCAAAAAACACATTTTGAAGCTAGTTGAGCGGTTTTCTGGTCACTGTTGTGCAATAAAAAGCTAAAACTTACCACACAGCTGTTTACAGGTCGTAAACTTTGCGGCCTTCTAATCCAGACGAAAAATATTAGCTTGCAAAGTTTGGGCATGTGTAGAGAGCAAAAATTCCCAGATACTTTTTGGGTTTAAAAACACCAGTCTTGACTTTTACTTTTCGCTTTCTCTCCTCCCCTCTTTTTCCGTTTTTCTTGCCTCTTTTTCTCTTGCTGGGCGTTTAGTGGGCTTCATTTTGGTGGGAAAGGTTTTAGGAAAAACCTTTAGGATCTTAGGATTAAATGAAAGGAATGGTAGGTGGGTAGTGGAACAAGATTTTCATGGAAATGTTCAGGTCAATGTTACATGGTTTTTTGCCTTTTTCTCCCGTACTCATTCTGGTATGGTTTGAAAGATCTCTTCACTCTGCACAAGTTAACAGACAAAGTTATCCCTGATTATTAAAACTGATGACGTCACAAGTGGTAGAAAGGACATGGATCTGCATGAGCGGTTACAGGCGGCTCAGGGGCTTATGTGTTAAGGATAAAATAATAATAATAATAATAATAATAAACTGACAGACTGAACAACAACAACCACAGCAGCAAAACTTTTAAAAATGGTTATTGACGGTGGAAAGTTTACCAACTATTTATGTGACAATAAACACTGCCTGCTTCCAGCAAAGCTATAATTTAAGGCAAATAAATTCATATCAAAGCTCACTTATACAATTAGCTAATCTACCACAGTGATCATTGAATAAAAAACTACTTTCATACTTGTAAAAAATTTTAAAAAGGGAAACCATACCACAGCTGAGAACTAGTCACTGTACAGGTATATATGTACAGGACAAAGAAATAAATGAAGCAAATTATAAACAACTTGTACTACTAAAGCTTGCATGCAAAAATATATACGTAGAAGGGAAACTTTGACTATAGTGTAAAATACAGTAACTGGCAACCATGCAATGCTGCATGACTCATGAATATAGCTACATCCTAATACGTGACTCTGTGTTCTTTCGGGTGGTCGATGATAACTGTATTAATGTGGTTGTAGGGTCAAGGTTCAAAAACTGAGGTGTCAATGCAATGAAAAATGAACAATGTGTTCAACAGACTATGCAGCTTACGAAATTATAAAGTACTGAGATGCAATTATTAACACATCACCAAACATGTAGTTTGAAGCAACAAAGAACAACTTACAATATCAGCAACAAAAATTGAAAAGACTTAAATAAGACCTAATTCCAAACACATGTTCACACCCAGGCAAAATTTGAACATTGTTTGGTGCACATTTTATTGGGAAATGGGTAATTTAGCCTCGAGGTGTTTGAACAATCTCCCTTAATTACAATGCTTCGTCATGGTGCTAATGTGTATAATTATTATAATCTGAAAGTGATAACAGTCAGCGCTATTACTCAGTTCTATCCAATGTCACTGGTAACATATAAAAATTATCATTATCAATGTTAGAGGTAAAATTTGATTTAAAGTTAAAACGTTTTAACCAGTAAGTTGACTCTCAATCTCCTTTGTCTTCTTGGGTTAGGACACAAAGAATATTAACAAATCAACCGAGATTAAATTGAAATTAACCTGAAAACAAATTTAAGGTTGCTTGCATTATAGCCATGTATACATGTATGTGAATAAATCATTCGTCCCACAGTACACTGTACATGTGCCTCCTACAATGATACTATTGTGTAATCATTTATTATATAACATTCTACTAGTCTTAGGTGAGACAAAAACCTAATATTGTTGTCAGACATAATATTATATGCAAAAATGATTGGTTATTTTGATTATGTGACACTAAGAACAAAAGAATCAGACTTCTTGGTGAAACAGTTATTCAATCTACGATCAGGTCGAATTTGGGTAAAACTCCTCAGCAAATAGTTGAACATGTACACTGTGCAAACTAAGAGGAAGAACAGCGTTTTTCCTATCCTGTTTTCTTCGGCCAGATTAATATAGAACACTAGAATGTCAGCCATAGAGACCAAATAATAGCTAATTTTATTTACAACATAATAGAAATTGCAAACGATCAGAAATATTTTCACGAAATTCAAGAAATTTGAAATGAGGTAAAAATCAGAAAATCTTTCGAGCTTGATTGAAATAATAAAGTTTTTCTTCATACAAATAGACATGCAGACAATTTACTACATTGTGAACAAAGAGGGATTAGAGTTTTGCTCTGCATCAGAGAAGAAAATTTAAGAATATTTTATTTCTAGGTATTATTAACTCGTTGTACCTTAAAAGACTCATTAGGTAAATCTTATATTTTTCTTTACTAAAATATTAGACACCATCCATATTAAACTTGTGCTTTGCTCGATCGGTCCACTGTGGCGAACCGCGATGAATATGTAGAATGCAGTTTCGCTTACCACAATTCAAGGAATAAGTGTTTTAGGAACAAAACCCTTTTTTCTGATACTTGAGAAATATGGTTTTCTTCCCTTGAGGAAGCAAACGGATCCACTTTATCAGTGGCCACTTAACTGTAGGTTATATCGATAGTACAGGTTGTTGATAAAATACATACAATGAATTTACACAATATCAAAAATTTAAATGCAGGGTCGCCGCTATGAAAACTTATACACACCGTACACAAACTGTATCTCTGGTTATAAGCCTAAATATTACCTATCGAGGTGACTTTTCTATCCTAATGCAAAGTGTATTTTAAACTGACATTTATAATCAAGTGAGCGATAATCGATTTGTTAGACTTGACTAGCAACCGAAAAAGTCCATTCCGAATGGCACGTTCCCGGCGACATGGAAAGGTCAGCCTAAAGGGGAAATTAACTAAGTTTACCTGCTGTATATACTTAAGAATCGATATTGTCTCATAAATCATTTTCTCTTTTAATAGAACTGCAGTTTAACTTAAGGTAGGGGAAAACATGACCATCAAATTTGAATGGAACACCGCGAAAATTATGCTTAAACAGAAAAGCCCGCAAAATTAAAACTGCGGGAAAAGATCACGCAAATTAACCGAAAACGCGACGTTTCAAATCAAGATTTTAAAAGAAAATCATCTTTATAATTCACACCTTCAAAACAATCAACCAACCTTAACGCCGTAGAAGTTTGTCCTCTCTCTCGTTTGTCTTCTACAGGCATCCTGGGATAAGAATAAAACTTAAAACGCTGTCTATCTTTTCCGTATTTTTCCCATCGCCGAGCTCACAGTGGGAGTGCTTACCTGCAAGTCGATAATCATGCACAAATGAGCTTCGCTTGTGCCAAGCAACGAAAATAGTCAGTGAACTAGACTTTTGTGCAAAGCGAAGCAACAATGAACTATGTTATGAACTTGGTGTCTTATAAAAGCCCCGAAATAGCGAAATCGCGGACAGTTTGTAGTAGCTTTTAAAAAATATTTTAAACAACATTCTCAATCTGCTAAGTAAACGTTCGTACACGTCGGCAGCGCTATCAAATTCACAGCTAGTTTTCTACCAGAAAGACCTTAAATTTCATGAAAAAATAAAAGGCAGATACTTTATGAAATTCTTCGACATACCATAACAAACTCACTGCTACGCTAGTGGAATAAAGCTACAATTTGCTCAGTGTCTTGAACTGATGTATGTAAGCCAAGCAACTGGAACCTTTGTCAGACGAAAGGAAATACGTAAAGTACACGGACAGGAAATGGCATCGATTGAATCTTAAAACCTGTCTTTTGGCTGTCCTTAAAATGCAAATGATTTTAATGTCTATGTTTTTAAAAAATACGGTAATGTGGGTTTTATAGTTGGCAGTGTAAGACTTCCACCAATTTGTTTACGATTATTCCAGTGTTGTGGTTTCCTGATACTGAGCTCGACGATCGACGATAAGTTACTACATTTTCAATTTATGTCTCAACTGGTTTTGATGAAAGTTAAACAATTTCTTTTCAAGAAGTGGAATTGAAAAATATGCAGCCAATTTCGAGCAGTTGTTTCCGAAGAAGATGATTGAAAGACTTTAGGAAAATATCATCAGTAATGTAAACGAGGCAAATAAATATAATAAGCCTAAGTTTAGTCACCCGCAAACTCGTCCGCTAATGATCACAAAATTGCGATAAAAACAAGCGTCCATAAGGGATCTTAGCTTACCACAAAATGACAAACAACATCCACGTTTTGCTTCCTTGATATGTTCGTACAAAGTTTGAGCTATAAATCATCCATACTTTTAGACCGGCATTTCGATCCAAGTTCCAGTTCGCTCAGTTTGATTAAGAAATTTGCAAAGCAACGTCAATTTCACAATAAAAATATTGTCATTTTTTAACCAATCAAAACGCTCCCTATGACAATGGCGCGTAATCTCTACCAATCAAAATCGCCTAGCACCCAAGTCCTTTTCACCTGTCCTTGAAAAAATTAAAAATATCTCGAAAAACTTGAGGAGTTTTACCAGTACTTGTCTTAATTGCTTACGTTTATCGACAGCTATCGATCATGTGCTTTTACGGGATCTTTTTAAAAAACAATTCAGAAGTTCGATATACTTATATCCGTTTTCATGCTTTATGGCAGATTTTCAAAATTCCGTTTTTGATATAGTTCAGTCTACTTGCTAATATCACTTTAACTGGGCCTGTATTAAAGTGTAAAATTCCTACATGCGACACGGCCTTGACGCAGCGACAAAAGACACAAGTCAAGTCAAGTCAAGTCAATCTTTATTTAAACACGGTAAAAATCCATCAGGAATTTAAAAAAAATTAGAAATAACCTAACTATCCTAAACAAAATTCAAAACCTGACTACAACTAATCTAACTAAAACCTGTTTTTCATGAATGCCGTGTATAACATTAAAAATGAACATTAACTAATCTTTTAAATTGACTAAGAGATTCGGCTTCTCTCACATGACAGGGTAGGCTGTTCCAGAGAACTGCTCCGCTATAAATCTGTTTTTCATGAAATTAGTTCGCGGAAATGGGACAAATAGTTTGTTAACAGAGTCCCTCAGGGAGTAACGCGTTTCATTTCGTTTAACAAACTTAGATGATAAATATTCAGGAACAAGGCCATTTAAAGACTTGTATACCATTATGGATTTCTGTATTTGAAATTGAGTGCTCAAGTCTTTCCAATCGAGTTGTCTAATCAAACGGTTAACATCAGCATCATAGCTAGAGAAACCAAAACGCAGCGGCACGGTTCTGAAGAAATGTAGCCTGTCAAATAATGTTTTACCACAATTACCCCAGACAAGATTGCAATAATCGAAATGAGATTGAATTAGTGAGTTATATATATAGTGAAGGGTAGGTGGAGGGACAAAAGGTCTAATTCTTTTTATTGCTCCAATTCCGGAAGCGACCTTTTTAGATAATTTATCAATTTATCAAATTTTTTTTTTTGGCAGCAATTTTTGGCCGCAATCTCAGAATTTTAAATTATCAGTTTTTGCAGGAGCCCATAAAATAAACTGTTTGCAAATCTTGTTTGCACAAATACATCTGGAAGGATTTCAAAGCAACGCGCAACCGAACGTAAAAAGACTTCTACCATGGTTAGCACTCGGGTTCGCAACCCTATTTTTTTAGCAGCTTTTAATTGAAGCCAAGAGAGGATGTCCTCTCTTGTTGAGGCTCACATGTATGGAAAAGAAGAACAAACGATCCTATGTTTCTATAACAGCCAGCGGCTGTACAGTGCAGAGCAGAGGAAGGCAGACATTGGACTTAAACTTCCATGCGTGACCTACAATTAGACGATGGCCGTCGATCACGACACTCCCTGCTAACCGAGTCTCCGTTTTCGTGATCTACTAAGAGGCGTCAAAGGTACTCAGGGCAGTCACGACATCACGAGAGAATCATGACTAATCATGGCCTTCTCACGCAGGTCTAAAGATCGCCCTAACGCGGCCTTGAACGTGGATTGAACTGGTTTCACAGGGCTCGAAATTGCGACTCACTGGTCGCCAATGCGACCAAAAATTGAGCACTGGCGACTAAATTTTCAGAACTGGTCGCCAGCTGGCGACTCGCGTTTTGTCCGATGACTAAAGAAAACCACGACACAACTTTTGTTTTTAAATCTTTATATTTGGAAATCAATCGGATATGGTAGCTAGTATACAACTCACCTTTCCGTCCCCAGTAAAATAATGTCTGAATATTACAAGATAATCGACACGTCGATACTGCGTTCAGGGCGCGCCATATTGTTTCAGCGGCTTCTTCCGAAACTGGGATCGCAGGCGCACTTCAACAACAAAAATGGTGGCAGATACGGTGTCTCCGTAACTCCCGCAACATTTTAGGTTTTATTTTCCTAAAACGTTCTGTCTAAAAGGAAACGAAGACCCAAAACTGCACTAAGCCCATTTTTGTTTCCTCCCGGTCGGAGACTGGTACGAGCAATGTGGTTGCGTAGAGGCCTGGGCCAAGCATGGCGTTGTTTGTCGGCAGCGAAAGGCGTTGAGGAAAGCAAGTCGAAAATAAAGAACGGCATTTCGTAGAAGTAGCAAAGGGCAAATACACAAGGACCCGTGTTTGTCTCAGAATGAAAACCACGGACTTAAAACGTTTTATGCTTCGCTTCATTTAAAATGACTATGGAGACAACCATCACCTTCGGACCAGAGACATATCACCTGAGAACAACGGTAGCTTTATAACTAAGTGTTACTCGTGTTGTTTCTAATTGTTTTCGCTCTTCAGTTGTGACTTTTCTTGCATGCAAAGTAACGTATAAAATCGTGTTCTTGTGTAAGTTATATATAAAATAAGTTGGCGACCAAAATTTACGATCTGGCGACCAAAATTTTTCCGTTAGTCGCCAGCTGGCTCCCGAACAAAAAAGTTAATTTCGAGCCCTGTTTCAGCGCAAAGGGGAGCTGACTTCCTCCAAAACCTTTTCTGTGAAATAAGCAGAGCAAGAAAGACGATATTTCCCAAAGTCTTTCATTAAAAGAGCTTTTACTAAATAATCTTATTTGGTTCTCGATCCTAACTAAAAATAGTAAATAACAGAGACGAGATGCGATAGATAAGTAAATGCGACATGGCTCGCTGTCAATTCCATTCAAGCTCATCCCCCAACCCCAAGGCCTGTCCCAGGCCATTTTTCCGCGGTGAATCGGGCCATGAACGCGCCATTCAACGGCGCTTTCCCATTAAAATCGGGTGTTTAGCTTGCTATAGTTTGCACTGCTTTTTAGGCCGGTAGTCTGTTTCAGGCGTTCAAATTGTGGGGATGGTGCCAAGGTTATGCGAGTAAGAAAAACACGGGGAGGGGTGGGGTAGGGTGTGAAAGTGTTCTCTCCCTCTCATTCCTGCTTGTTTTTCCTGCTCTCTGACTTCGTGTCACACTACACTATCTGAACATCACAAACAGGCTACAGATCGCTGGCTCTCCTGGCCGTATAGGCGAATCTTTCGTGACGTCAATGTTTACATTTGCCCGCAACGATTGCCGGGATTGTGTGGCAAGAAGCAGTCTTTAAGCTCTCTGTCAGTGCTTCTTGAACGTCAACATTGATCGACTTCTCTTGACTAAACAATGGTACATTCCTGTTGTGTTATAAACTGTACAGCAAGGTGGAGTGGCGACAAAGGTTTCTTTCGTTTACCGTCGGAAAACGACAAAGAAAGACGAAAAAAGTGGCTCAGAAATATACGGCGAGCAGATCCAGAGGACCCTCGGAAGCCATGGATCCCCTGCAACACTGATCGAGTTTGCAAAAATCATTTCGTTACTGGTAAGCTTATCTGTGTTAAATGAAAACGTTTTGATTTGAATTCCTATGTATTTTGATTTTCTTATTCTTAGCGTTTTTTTGTAATTAACCTTCAGTTTTCAACTGTATTTTTGTGAAGGTGCGCCCAGTAAGGATCAACGACATCCTGATTATACCCCGAATTTGAATATGGGTTACACATCAACAGAGAAACTGGAAGACAAATTAAAAAAAATAAAACGTTTAGAAAGATTCCAAAACAGACAATCTCTTAATACAGCTTCAAATTCTGTTCCTTCTTCTACTGCTGAGCCAATGGATGTTGAAAACCCCTTTGAAGAAGCTAGCTGCCAACAGGTAAGTTTAAATCAATTTCCTTTTGCTTCGTTTACTGTGAACAAGAATTTCTCGTGCATTACGTGTGAGCGTATGATTTGACCTTTCATTTGCTTTTATCATAGTAATTGTTATCTTTTTATTTCCATATGATTACTTTTTAGGCTGTGATAATAACTGAACCCCCCGTAGATGTCCAAGAAGAAGCATGTGCTTCCCCTCTTGACAGTGGAGATGGAAGAGATGAACTGTTAAA